GTTTACGGGTCTTGTATTATCAGACCCGGAGATACGATACGCGAATGACCGCTGGCCGAGCGCGAAGAAAACCTCGAAGTGTAAAGTCACGAACAATCAACTACAACCAACCATCAACCATCGACTATCAACTATCAACCATTGACTCTTTACTCGCGCTTGTCGGCGGTTTTTGTACCCGAAAGTGTGCCAAATCGAGTTCTCATTTGTCACTCATGCACATTTTGGAGTTACGCGATCGCCTTCGCAGAATGCCGCGTTAATGCATTCCTGCGAGTCAATTCGGTCGCGACCCGAATACCGACGGAAAAGGAATATTCCTCGGATGTAACAAGGGAGAACTTCTCTTTTCTAATACACTTAATATGAAATGTTACAATTATGGAAATTTAAACTATTCTGTGTATTTTATCATAAATATATTACTTATTTTTTATTTTTAATAAAACGCTTATACAAGAATTCTATAGAGATACATGTATTGCACTTACAGATAGTTAGATAAATTTAAAAGTTCATGATTATTCTTAAATTTCGAACAAAAGTAAGTGTAAGCGCAAGAAACCTTTTTGTAAAATCTGAAATCAATTTATCATATACACATCGACTAATTGTTGATAAAAATTTATACATTTTAGCACAATGACATGGAACCTTAGAAAAGAGAGAGCTGCAGTTTGATATTTTTGCGGTAAAACTGACGACACTATTATTTTCAAATGCAACTAAAAGAATTAGTTTACATGTAAATTTTGCAGAAGCTACGTGGAATTCTAGAAACGATAACCAATTTCTTGCACTAACAGCAATATTAATTTAATCAAAAAAATATTTCATTACAAAAACAATGACGTAATTGTTTCTAACATATTAAGTCTGAATCATAGTAATTATCTGAAATTTAAAAAAAAAACACTAAATACTTAATATAACTCTCTCTTTAATTTATTTATTATCGTTAATTAATTTTTTTAGGTTTAACGAATCAATTTTTTCGATTATTGATTTTACAAGTAACATATAGCAATTTTATTCAATTTCTTACCAATTTTACACAATTTAAATAAATTTTTATTAATGTTTTTAACAAAGAAATTATTGCAAATTGTACAAGGCAAGTTAACTTAATATTATAACAATTGTTATACGAACTTATATTAAAGTCACATTTTATCAATAATTGAACATACTAATATTTATGTAAAGTTTAAATTCTTCGTGTGTTCTGACTTACAACGTAATGTCCATTAAAAAAACTAGTGATCTGGACCATTTTTTATGAATTCAATGATGCTATTCAATACATTATTGCTTTTTGTTATAATGAATTTACCACCACGCTTTTTTCAATAAAGTTATGTTACGTAAACGTACACATATTAAACAAAATGTCATATATAACAGCGATATTGGCATTTTAAATAACTATAAATAATATTAGAAATTATAATTACTATTCCTATAACGTCGTACCATCTTGATATTTATCATAAAATAAATAAGAAAATAATAAATTTATAACAAAATATGCAGAAAACGATTCAAATTTCCATAATTTCAACACTACACAATAATTTCTGTTGATATTTATAATAATGTTTTTAAATCTTAAATGTATGTTTCTTTGCATTTCTTGCCCATTTAAATGTAAAATTCTGATGTTACAGTGAAGTCTCGATATTAGCGAATTTTTTGGATCTAAACTTTCCTTTATGTCGTGTAGTTCCTACATTGATTGAAATTTGCAAAACATAAAGAAGGGCAGGAACCGTTCCAGCCAAACATAAAAAAAAAACTAACATATCGGTAGGACATCCTAATGTAAGAATAAAACACTTTTATTTTTCATTTTTTTGGTAACAAGTTTCTATCAAAATATTTGTAACATTTTTCTAATTACAATGAGGACAAACACATGTATATTTACTTGTAATTTCAAATACTTTGCTTATATCGAGAACTTTGCTTTAATAACTTATTACAAGTAAATGCGTACTGAATAACATCGTATTTGATTTCATTTTAATCAGAAAAATCATATCTGAGCAAGAGACTTTTACCGATTTTCGCAGTTACAGCATTTCTTACTTTTCATTTGCTATTCTCTGTGTTCGAATCTTGTAAAATCAGTAAATATAGTGCAAGTTAAATCATGTTTATGATTTATATTGAATTAAATTATCATAATCAGTCAAAATCTATTGGAAAAAGTTTTATGGTAATAAAGTCAAGAATAAAAAAGTGCTATCCTCACTTTGATATTACCTTACGGAAATCTGAATGAAATATAAGAATCCCTTTTCACATTAGATTAAACAGTTTAAGCTTCTTTTTAAATACTCTAAGAAAATTATTTTAGTAAATGATGTGCTTTTGCCATTTTAAGTATCATTTTAAGTGCCATTTTAAGATCAGAATCACGAAGAAAATAATCGCGGTCACTTCTATAATAAATGGACGCTATAATAAACAAGATTTTAAAACGAATCAGTACGTTTTGCGATAACCTACTATACAGGGTGTTACCTGTAACGCTACTCACGATTTTTCTCCCACTTGCAGCCACCTTACGAAAAAAAGTTTAGAATAAAATTTGCAGGGTATGAAGTGCACAATAGATATTAGTAAAGCAAATTTTGAAAACAGTTTGTTCTCTTGGCAAAGTCAAGGTCACCTTGGGTTTCTTAAATAGGAACATATATTTTTTTTTATTCATATCTTTAGAGGACATCGAGACGAATTCGAAACATATATTACATTATATTTTTATTAACATATTACTCGATTTACAGAAGTGGAAATGTGAAGTAAAAGACTGGAATATTATGTGATGGAAGGCGGCATATGTTACAT